TATATATATATATATATATATATATATGTTCAGTTACTCATTTTTCATTTGATTTTATTTTTATTTACAGATATAATCATAGTTTTTTAGCTGAAAGTTTGCTCGGTGATTCAACTACAGGAAGGAAATGATCTTAATAACAACGGGTTTCATCCTGGAATGATAAATTACTCACGAGAAAAATGGTTGATGATAAGGGTAGCATTTTCGCATTTGTTTTTCCCAATCAATTGGAAATTGTTATATCCGATCCGCAAACACATAAACAAATAATAACACTCTATAATCCATACCATTTTCCGATCAAATTTAAAGGTTATTTTCTTTTTCTTTCATTTTCTCATTATCAAAGGACTTTGCCTTCTTTTTTTGGCAAATATTTTAATATCGATTAAATGAATGTAGAGATATTTATATTTTTATCATAAACATTTGATTTCGAGATATAAAAGTGGAACTAGGAATTGGATTGAAGTGTCAAAATTATTATTTAAGCTTTTTTATGGAAATTACGCTCGATAGTGAAATCTATTCGATATATAGCTGCATAACATAGCTTTGCTAATAGCCTGGTTATGAAGTGATCACAAACTAGTTTGCTTAAATTTCTATAAAGCATACTTTTATAATTTTTAGCATAGTTTTAGAATTTTCAACTTTTTATTCATATTTATAGAATTTTTAATTGATGATTGTGTTGTTTCATGAATCATTCTCGCTAAATTATTCCAATTTAGATTCTTTTAAAGGAAGTAAGATTGACTAAAGCTATCGAAAGCTTTAACTAAATGGGAAGTCGTGTATTAATTGGCAAAATTCTAGTAGTCCAAGATCTGGGAAATTATTAATCGATGAACATCAATGAGAAAATTTTTTATTTAATATTATAAGCTGTTCTGTTAGTAGTTATGTGATTATTGAAGAGGATTAAAACGTATCTGGTAGCTCAAGTTTTCAATAAGAAACCAAATTTCTTCTAAATATAATTTGCCGGCGTAAAAATGAATTGTATCATTTGTTTCAGTGAAATGTACAAATTCACAGAACTTCTCGGTGATTGAACCGTATGGTATATTGAGAGCATCAAGTTCTTTTGATATGTAAGTAGTATATTTGAACTTTCTTGTATACTTCCGGAACTCTTACCAATCTTTTCATCTAACAAATAGTATTTGATCTCATCGATTAGACAAATTAGTTTTTATACAATCTGTCGAAAAAGCTATTTCGTCGACTTCGTTTTTCAGCGATATAGATTTATTCATAATATTGTTCTTGCACAATATTCTAGTTAACAACAAAAGGGTGTAAAACATATAGGTATATGTTACGCGGTGAATTGATAAACAGTGATGAATGAGTTATACAACAAACAAACTATAATCAACTAATAATCTCGTTGTTTTCGTTGTTTTCGGTAGTAATTTGACTGTCGATTAGTTGATAAGTTGTTGAGTTAGGGATATGTTAGCGAATAGAAAGAATATTGCAGTTTGCCGTCCAATGGTATCGGATATGTGGACATGTTGTTTGTGGTTCAGTCGGGGAGGCGAAGAGGATGTATTGTCTGCTTAATTGTAAAAACTAAACTTTTGGATATTTCCTTATATATATATACATATATAAAGATTAGCGGGGTTATCATGGAGGTATGGCTGTCCTTTGGTATTGTCCATTGTGTAGGTACAATGGATATCATTGTCCATGGTGAAGATATTGGGATGTCTTTGTTGTGATGTCCATTATTAGCTTATTATTCTCTTCATTCCTTTGATTTCACTTACAAGATTTCATCATCCTGGATGTTAAATACTGTAGAGATTTTATTTGAACATAGCTTTAATTTTAGTAATCCGACATAACCTGATTATATAATTATAACTAATTGAAGCATGAGATAACTTTGTAAACTTAGTTTTCATGTAATATAATGAACCCTATAGACAGAACAAGATTTGTAAAAAAAAAATTAAATTATCGCAATAAACTATATTTTTTCTATTTTTTTTAGTATCATTCGGCATGTTACTTTACAAATGCAAACAAGTCCTGGTCTGGAAAAATTTCGTATCGAGATTTGTTCTGTGCATAATCAAAAGGTAATTTATATTGTTAATATGATCAACCGTTCAAACCATTAATGTATAACATTTATTTTCATTTTAATTTTATCCATGCAAAGATATACTGTAGTACATTTTAATATATCAATTCTATCTAATTTATGCGTAATATCAACATATGGCTATGCTTAGCATACGGTACATTTCGTATGTGGTCGTTATTTTACATGTATTACCCCATGATATAATCCTCATAACTCTTTATTCAATATCATCTTGACCACCTAATCTATATTTGCAAACCTTCCAAGACAGATTAATAATGCCAACCTTTGAACTACTCCATTTAATTCCTTTCTTATTAACCTTTTGTAGTTAAGGAGGTGGTATCAGATGTCTAATGTGCAACATTGTTTTTTTTTCCAGTCGTTTGAAAACTTTATATCTCTTAATTCGTATGACGTAATCTTTGCCTCCTTTAATATTTACGATGAGGTAACCAGGTCAATTTTGGAGTAAATTACTAGGACATGTGGCCTTATTAATATCACTTTTTGTTTTCGTTGTATGCTGCCAAATTCTTTTGAAATTTTTTCTATTTAATTGTTTACAGTTTTGTTGTTTGAAGATTTCTGGATCAGTTGATGTTCCTGTTCACATTGTGGATACTGCGCCAAAATTCAATCATGTGCGATATCATCAATTGTTACCAACAAGCAGTACTGATCATTCTTCCGTTCATGAGAGTACAAAGTCAGCCCGGGTACGATATTATCTCTTTTGGTGTTGTTATTTGTAGGCTGTTTTTGAATTGAGGCACGAAATTGTTTATAATACGGCAATTTGCATATAATGCCGCTGGGGAGTTGAATGTTGGTTTCCTTGAGGTCCTGTTCATTTAGTATTAAAAACTTTGAGGATCAAAAAAAGTATTCAAACATTGTGTAATAAGAGATAGAGATAGGGAAAGCGCAGTGCGTAGAATAATTGTATTAATTTGACTTTCGAAAGTCAAGCGTAATATGTAAGCAATCATTTACGTTTTTTTTTTTATTTGTGGTTTTATTTTTTGCTTTTTACTATATTCTCTTTATATATTTCTAATTCTGCTTTTTCTCTCCTTTTGCAGTCTTCATCATTTTTACGAGAACATTTCGATGTAACTTCACCTTTGGTAATGGTGTCTATTAGTGCAGTTGCTATATGTGCTGTTGCATTAATGCTTCCAACTGCAGGATTGGATGTATCAACAGTGATCCCGGATTGGTTACATGTTTCCGTTCATCTTAAATTAGTTTTTGCCTATATTTTAGGCCTAGCTACATTGGTATTACTAAGGCCAGGTTAATTAAACATTGTTTCGAGCATCTTCATTAGTCCATTGTAAAATAATTGTTTGTGAAAAATGATGCATTTTTCATCATATTTGGAAATATTTCGAGGTATAACTTTTTTTGCACATTTTTCCCGTATTATTTTTTTTTCTGTTTTGAACGATATAAACGAATATATATGAATTACAATGTGTATAAAATTACGTATAAAGTTTTAAATACGTAATTTTCGAATTTGAAGTAATCAAAGCTTCTTGAAATGCAAATGTAAAATCAAATGAATGCTGTTGTACAAATTTCATAGTCTCTCTTCTTGCCATGGCCTAATTAATGACGTCTTTCGATAGACTTATAAATGAGGTAACTTCGAATTTTCATTGTAATAATCTGTACATATTGTGTAATATGTTTGTAGTTCTTAATCTGTTTCATTTGTTCAGAAATAATAAAGATGAATAGAAATCTGGAACGATTCTTTCGAGCGATTGTAATTTTGATTTCACTATCCGGAAAGTAGAAGTCATTTGTAACAAAGCTTAATATGGGTCTGGATCAAATTATTGTATATTTGCTATGAGCTTCAAAAACCGGACAGTTTGTATATATTGATATTATGTTGCTATACTTTGGTAGTGTTTATAAAAATTGTATATTTTGTTTCCATACTTTTGGTAGTCTAATGTAAACATCTTGCTGGGTGCTAGAACTGCAACTATTCATTTGTATTGACTTACCATATAGTTTCATTTGGTCTATCCTATTCTATGGATAACTTTCTTGAATGCTTGTAGTCTTTAAGGTATATTCAAATTATCCGTGACATTTTCGTCTTGTAATATATAATTTTGATAAAATCATCATTCTTTGACATCTTATTAATTGTTTACATGATCCTAATTTTCCATACATTAATCCTTCTTTCTTATCCATATTTGAGTTACAAATTTTTTTTTTAAATTTCAGCTTACTTTAATACTTTTTTCCAGTTAATAGGTAAATTAATAAATTCATTGCTAAAAATGAATTTCAGTAATTCTTTAATTATTTATTTTACTCCCAATCTGACATTTTATAATCAAATGATTTAATTTTTAACATATAACATTTGTGAATATTTTGCGAAAGAAAAATTTGTTCATAAACTTTTAACTTCTACATTTTTAACTTCTACACTGCTACCAGGATTTTTGCATTTCAAAAATGTGATTAATGCCCGAATTAGAATTCGTTTCGTAAACCACCATAGGAAATCGGAAGATTTTCCGGTTCCTAAATATCGAGTAAGAAGTGTTCGATTGGTACCGGATATATTTGTTCGTCCAGTTCCATGAATATCGATTACACCACCAGTTGGTTTAACTACAGCTCGTTTACTGAATGTTACGAGTAAATCAAGTACCACCCCATTGGTCCATCCAAAACCATACTAAAATATTATGTTACAGTAATATAACATGATATAATATGAAATATACCAAATGCTAATGACATTGATTATATGTCATCATAGTTTGATGACATTAATAATTAAATACCTGAAAAATATACCAATTTTACCTGATTTTCATATTCACCACCTTTAGCAGCTCGTACATATTCTTTTGCAACATCATATTTTTCCCACATTTTATGATCTTTCTGATAAAGTGCATAATTACGATTAATCCATTTATTAGCAATCTCAAATGCTCGTTGCTGCATCCTAAAATATCATTTTTATTATATTGATGACACTACTGTAACTTAATTTTAATTAAGATAGTATTAATTTTTGATATTATGTGTTAATTTATATCCTTCCAAAAAATTTATCACGATTACGATATGATACTGTAATGTTACAGTACTTCCTTAAGAAATAAACTAGTATTGTGATATCATATTAATTAATTTTTTTTCTCTCTCTCTTTCTCTCGAAACTTTTCTATACCATAAAAAAAAGAAAAAAGGGATAAACCTTGGATTATTTGATTTACGTAATCCTTCGATGATCATATGATTTATTGGTGCCCAACCATTTGGATAATCCCATTGTTGATTGGTACCCTTCATTAAGCTATAAGAAATTTAAATTTTAAAATTTCAATTCAATTCAAATTTTAAAATCCATTTTAAATTTAAATTTTAAAATTTTAAAAATTAAAATTTCAACTCGAAAAAGAGATTTAAATTTTAAAATTCAAAATTAACATAAAAGCTATGAGAAAGAAGTTATCAGAATGATCAGAATGGTTAAAGGGAGAGTTTATCAGAGATTAAAGAGATGATCATTAGCATATTGTTATTAGTTTATATTCAGGAAATGAAAGCAATCATTAATTATATTTGATATTTGGGAAATTTTCTGAATGGAAAAACTCTGATAATTCAAAGAGGTTATTAATTCAAATATTAACTAATTAATTCAAATTTAATTTCATCATTTATACTATTTAGCATCATTTGTTTCAATTGATGAATGAAAATGAATGAGATTAATTTTTTTGTTTTTATTTTTCAGTTTTAATTGGAAATGGATTATAACCTTGCCGGTATGCCACCCGGAAATTGTAGCAATCCTTTTCGTTGTAGCGTTTCCAGAACATCCGAAATCATACCACTATTTAGTACATGATAACATTCAGTGAAAAGTGGAGCAGCTAAAGATGGATATGCATCATCGTAATGCTCTCCGGTTTTCAGGTTCAAGTCAAACCATGCACCTTCACGTGTATCAAAAAATACTGCTTCAAATGTATCCACAAAATTTGATCGTTCTCGATTTAATTCATCACGTCGAGTTAGATTACCTAATGAACGAATAAAATAAGATTATTCTAAAATAATTTCAAATTATAATTTTAGTAAAATTATTTCTTTTCATATTGTATTGTTCCGATATTCCGCTTTAAAAGCATAAATAGTTTAGTTGATTTAACGTACGAATTTTGTTTCATTTTTCTTTTTTTTTTTTAACTTTTAACGGAATACCGGAACAATACAATTTCGTTCATACCGGAAGAATATAATTCCGTTCATGCCAAAACAATGTAATTCCGATCATGCCGGAACAATATAATTCCAGAATGTTAATTATTTCAATTTATATGAGCAATTATATAAGTGAAGGCAAAGAAAAAAGAGTCGGTGCATGACTTATTTATGATTAATGTTTTCGTTAGGTAAAAGATTTTATCGAAAATAATTTTACTGGAATTATTTGGTTCAAAAATTTTTCAAATTTCCTTTTTTAAACTTTTTAGATTATTATTTACAGTGTTTGTCGAATTTTTATGAGAAATATTCTTATAAGATCAAAGAAATAAAGTAATTTCTGTACATTTTTTTTTTTTTTGACAAAATTTATCGGAAATTTTTATAAGAATAAATTTTAAATTTTCATCCTTTTTGGAATTTTAAAAATTTACATCATAAAAATTACAATCATTTTCGCATATAATTTAATATAATGTAGCAATATTTACAGGTTTTAATTTATCATTTAAAATTGTTTCGAAAGAAATTTAAATAAATCACCAATTTCTCCTTGAAGATGTGCTAGAATTTTCATATTCCAATACATGAAAGCATTCAAATCAACCGGAATAATATCGGATGTAACGATAGTATCCATACTTTTCCGATTTTGAAACCATCGACTGCTAAAATCCCAACCTGATTCAGCAGCACTTGCTATATCACGCCATAATTTACGTCGTCTTTGCCGATCAACTCGTTCCGCTGTTTGATAATCTTCACGGTATGATTCCGGTCTGAAAATTAATATTAATAAATAATATCTCTTATTTAGCATTATTTGTTTAGGAAATGAATGACTTATTTGACTAATGAAATAAATGATTATTTAACTTAGGAATTTTTAATTTATTACCGTGGAACATTACTATCTGCACGATAATAAAATACTGAATGATTTCTTTTATTAATTGTTACATTAATCATTCGACTTGATTTCCAAAAATTGAATTCCTAAAATTCATTCCATTTCAAAATTAATTTTAAAATTTATCATATATCTTAAATACTGTATATTTATGGTATATTAGATTTGAGAAAATTTTGGGATAATTAATGATAAATTAATCATTTCATTTTCATAAATTAACTACTAATTGCTATTGCTATTGCTTAAATTGTTGAATTAGTTAAATGAAATATTAAAAAATTTAAATTAAAATTGAAAATTCGAAAAATGTATTATTCATCGAATATTTCCAAAAAAATTTTACTAAAATTAAAAAAAGAAAAATTGACCATTTCCATAGTATCCATTGTGGAATGTAAAAATTCATCATCTTCTGTTGCCATATAATACTCATAAACCATTGGAATAAAAAAATGGTGGTTGTGATCGGCGCAAATAATACACTCGACCACCATTTGGTATAAAACCAATTTTTTTACCAAATATTCAAAATTAAGAATCATTCGACGTGATGTCTCTTGCATTCCTAAATATTTATCAAAAAATTTTATCTCTAAAAGAAATAATCTAATTTAATTATCAGATTATTTTATCAATACTATCATTTAC